TTTCTGTATCTGTAATACTAATTGTTTCTATTAGTTGTGGACTATCACAATGAGGTGACTCAATATAAACTTCAATATTAAACGGATCTGTTGATGGTATTTGTTGATCAAAAGGAGCATTATTTTTAATTTCAACCTTGTCTTTGTCCAAATATTTAATGTAAAGAGTGGCGCCATATTTTGTTGGTATGTTATTAGTTATTTGAACATGATAATTTTTGACTTCTTTTACGCATAAATCTGTAATATTTTTATTATAAATACGGATATAAGTTGAGGTTGTGAAAGTATTAATATATTGAGATGTGAGTAATGTATAATCACATGAGCTATATTTAACAAAAACATTAAAATTAGCTGGAACTTTGTTACTGAAAGTTAAATCACCTTTTAAATATTTTTCAAAGGTAATTGGGTCTTGATTTTCAAATTGAAATTTAAATATTAAATCATCTGCATTAATAACATCATTTGTTAAGCTTATTGATACAGTAACTTTATATTCTACTTCTGCTTGAATTAGGTCAACAATATTTATGGTTGATGCATTTTTAGGGTTTGAGCCCTTTACAGCCATATTTTCTTCAAATTTATTGATCTCAGGAGTAAAAGAGAAAGCTATTGCAGTGTCAATTGTTGGAGATGTCATTGAATTGCCAATAAAATGCAAATTGAAAGCCAGAATTCCGCCATTTGAACGTATTATTTTTGTAGTACCTATTTTTTGGAGATCAATTTTTTCTACTGATGATATAGAATGTTCAGACCCATCTTCATAACTATAATAATAAACTGTAGGATTTCCGGCTGTTATATCACCAGACAAAGCAGACTGAGGATAAAATGATATAGAGGCATCGTATTCATCATCTATATTGATATCAATATTCTGAGTATTATAATAAAAATGGAGTAGTCCTTTTGTTTTTGGGGTTTCTGTGGCTCCTGATGCAACATAAAAAGAGATATAATCAATAAATGTCATTTCAACTATGGCTTCATCTTTAAAAACAAACAGGCTATAACCATCTTTCTCTGTTACTGTTTTTGGAGAATCAAGGACATTATTAATGGTTATTTGTAAAATGCTATTTGGCCAATATACCATCATCAAAGCTTTTCCTGCCCCAATAGTTATTCTTGCTGGGCTTTCTTCTGGTCGCAACATTTTGGAACCAATTGTATCAGTAAAGTCGAGATCAGTTGATTTTATATGCAACAGTAGTGCAAAGAGCAACATATTTAAATAGTGAACTGTTATTTGAGATATTCAGAATTTGTGATCAAATTGGAGATTAGTCAAAAACGATAAAATCAAATTTGAATAGTTAGTCAGTAGTTGAATTGGCTGGACAAAATTGTCTATTTTTATTTTTCTATATTTTCATTTGTCTTTTAAATATAAAATACAAAACATCATTTATTTATTCTAAAAAACTATAAAAAAATTTCAGATTTGAATGAATTTTCCTCTGACTAATTTCTCAAATCCCATTGTAAAATTTTTGATCTCACAAAAATTTCACCACTTATTGATACTGAAACTGTAGGTTGTGAATTAATTCTCAAAACTGGTTTCAAGTAATTAGAATAGCATTTTGGTATATTTGTTCCTAAAATTGAAAAGATATGTTTTCACAGAATTTTGATACATTATAATATTCCCATTGGTTTATATTTTTTATTAAAATATAAATTCAATTTTTTTTAAAGCAGTTCAAATATAGATTGATAATATTTACTCTCTGAAATTATTATTTATCTATTTCAATCATATCTCCAAAATTCGAAAGTTTTTTTGATATCCAATAAAAGGTATGGAAACTCTTTTTCAATTCAATTTTATTTTATGCAAAAAAAGCTTGAATATTGATCATTTTTATTAATAATTAGTCCATTGTCATGTATATAATATTTATATCATAAATATAAAATCAAAAAAATATAATTTTAATTTTATTACTGAAAAACAAGAAAAAAATTAAATCCAAAAAATTGCAACTTTGGATCAACAGAAAAAACCTCATCAAAGTTTAATACATGTTTAATATTGTTTTATCATATTATTTACATATTTAAAAATAGCATTAAAGTGCTTAATTCAAATTTCACAAAATGCATAATTACCCTTCGGACGTAATTGTAATTTTATAAAATTCAATGAAAAGACATATTTAAATGTAAAAATTGCCGAAATGAAACGTAATTGCATAATTTATATAAAAATAAAAAAAAGCAAAGAGGTTTAGTTTCGAACTCAATACTTTAGCCTCAATTTTATTTTACCTCTAAGCTAGAGCTCTCAAATTTGAAAGGACAAAATATTTATATTTAAAGATAAATATTTTAATTTTTCAAAGGCAACTTTTTAAGGCGGTTCTCTATAACCGTTTTAACCGCCACTTTATAAATGCTTGATTCTCGACGAATACTTATTATCAGCAAACCAAACTTCAAACATAAAACATACATTTTATATATTTATATTTAATCATAATTAATTGAGATTCAACGATTCACAGGAAAAAAATATAATATTATTTTTTTAATGAAGACCTAATTTAAAAATCGGCGAGCTTTAAAATTTCCTTTAGTAGTCATTAGCAAAATATTTTTATATGAAGATTTATGAATTGTTCTCATGATACTGTTATTAAAGTTTTAATTTTTTTTTTTTTTTTTTCACAAATTAATGTACCCTACTGTTAATTATGCTTTAAAATTGAATCAAAAACTTTATTAAAGATTTATAAAAACAAACACCAATTTTAACCAAGTTATTTTCATTAAAAATTTTTTTTTCAATTATTTAAATTATAATGTTGAATAAAAAACACCTCTTATTAGTGCATTATTTTGTTTATATCATTCTTAAATTTATATATTTGTTATAAACCTGTTAAATAACAACAATATATCTATTTTTTATAGCTTTTTTTAGACTTCAATCATTAATAATGATGAATGGAATTCCATGATGCAAAAAGAAATGAACTATATTTCAAATATATATTGATTTATGTTCGGCTATACTTATTTTTCTTTGATTTATTTTTTAATTTTTCTTTTTTTATTAAGTGAAAAAAACATTTTTCGGAAAGTATCCAATTTATTGAGAACCACCGTAATAATACAATATAAAATATCATTAAAAAATTATATTTCGAAAGAAAAATGATCTGTCGAGTGGATAGAAGTTTCCATACCTTTAATCAATTATTATTGATAAGTACGTTCAAGGATGGTTAATGTTGAATAATTTGTTACTTTAAAAATTTCGGTATAATACAAATGGAAAGGCAATGAGAATTCATTGAAATATAAGAATTTTTCCCTGAAAATTTTAATTGAGAAAAATATAAATATAGTTGGTGGACATAATTATGTTTTTGGGACATAATCATGTTTGCTCAACTTTTTGAATGGTACACAAAAATAAAACACATTTTTCTCAATACTTTTTAAAGATAATTTGATAATATTATATACTTTATTAATGTATTTTATGTACATCATTATTTAATTAAATGAGATATTATATTTGTGATTTATATGAAATTTTGCCATTAATGTAAAAAAAAGTCAAAATGCTTATTTTATTCTCAATAATTGAAACTTGGGATTTAATAATAATATCATTAATTCATAATCAGTAATGATATAATTTTGTCAGATAATTGATATCTAAAAACTTTCATATAAGAATATTTTGATGCACAAAATAAAGTTAAAAATCATATCACTTTTTGGTTTTTTCCAATAAAAAATAAAAACTTTTAAATTTTTATTTAAATATTTGATATAATGCATATAGTATAACGATATTGAAAGAATAAAATTGGCGGTTCTACTCAAGATCTATTACCTTAATGAAAAAGAGTAACTTCTGAAATAACTTAAAAAGACTTTCAATTTTAGACATTGAGAAATTATTTTCATTATTTTAATAGTTCTTCTATACTTACCTAATATTTATTGATTAATTGCTATTTTTAATGCTATTATAATAGAAAAAATAAAAAAGTGAAATTTGTATATTTCTTAGAAAAACCTGAAATCTTGATGGACAACAATGATTTTTAGAGGATTAATAATATATTTCATTGTATGTGTTATCAAATAATGTTATTCTGAATTCATATCAATTATGCATGAGTGATTTATGAATGATTTTGAATGAAAAAAAGAAAAATGAAATTTTTCCAAGATTGATTCTTTTTCAACCATATTATTATATTTAATATATTATATGCATCATATAGATGATTAATACTGCATCTAATTTGAAATAAAATAAACTCATTTTTCAAAATTTGTAATTTTGTATGAATGATTTTTGTCATATTTTGAAAACACTTTTTCTTTTTATATAATTATTATTTCAATAATTTTTTTTCTAAAATATAATATATACATTATATTCTAAAATAATAACTATGTTAGAGCAAATTAAAACAACCTTTTTTTTATGGTAAAAGCATGAAATGTGATATGAAATGAGTTTTTTGAGTAGTGAAATGAAAATGAAACCATTTTTTCTAATTATCTATTTTATTTCAATAAATAATAATGATACATTTTAATTATAGATGAAAAGTAAATTATAATTTTTTTCAAATAATAAAAAAATATTCAGAAATTAAAAATTCGATATCATATTTATGATCAAATTTAGTTTGATAAAAGTGAATGAAAATCTGGGAATAGAATGTATCCAATATGATATTAATTGTTCTACAATTGTTTTTTAAAAAGTCCAATTTGAATATATAGAAATGATGTGAAAACATAATTATGTCTCCAAAACAGAATTATGTCCACCAACTATATTTTTATATTGTTTGTTGTATGATATTTTAATAATACAATAAAAAATATAAATATTCTATTTTATTTAAACATTAAAAAAATTATAAATACTGAAATAACTATTATATTAAAAGTGATATTTTAAAATTAGCAAATTATAAAAAAAAAAAAAAAAAAAAAAAGTTAAAAAATGAGGTCGAAGGGAATCGAACCCCCAACGCTGAGATTTGGAATCACACGCTCTGCCATTGAGCTACAACCCCATCTATGTATTCCTTAATTAAAAAAAAAGTTAAGTTGATGTAGAAAAATTATGGTGAAATATTTCAATATAAGCATTCAATATCTTCCATTATATACATTATATACAAAAAAAGCATTTTTGAATGGTTTTTCCATTCTCCTTATTATTAAATATGCATTATATACAAAAAAAGCTGTTTTACTTTCGTTAGCTATTCATGGTAGATCGGCATCATTCAAAAAGAGAAAAAAAAACATTTTTGAATGGTTTTTCCATTCTCCTTATTATTAAACTCTACCCAAAAATGTTCGACTTAACGTACACATTAACCGCATTTTCCACTGAAAATTGACTAAAAAAACGATAAAGTGTCGAAAATTTCTTTTTTCTCTCAAAGTAATGTATTCAATTTTTCAGAAGTTTATTTTTATAATTATCCTTTCAACAAGCTATTTTTATACAAGGAGCCCTGGTTTTTGAAAGAAATAGCCGCGCCCTTAAGAGGAATTACAACTTTCTTTGGGACATGCGCTACTCTCTGAAAAAAGAGCTTTGGAAAAAACCTTCGAATCACCATAAAGGTGCATGAGAAAAAAATGATAATTTGAATACTCTCTCAAAATTCAATTGTCGAACATTTTTGGCAGAGTTTAAAATTTTTTTGAAAATTTTATCATAGTCAAAATGCCCGCCAAAATTTTATTATAGTCAAAGAATTTGATATCAAATTTTGCGGGCATTTGGATTAGCAGTCTAGTTTATTACCTAAAATAAAGTAAAGGAAATAAAACAGAATTGTTTGCAAGGAATGATTTGAGAGACTCTTAAATTTTCATTCAGTAAATTAAAAAAAAAAAAAGGTTTTTTTCAATTTTTGTGGTGGAAAATACACTTTTGGCTAAAAATTGACTGAGTCTATCAAGTTTTTTTTGCAAAAATTTTGGTAATATTTGCATTTAGAATGTTCATTGATACATAATTTCTGACCAATGCTGTTTAAAGAGATAGAGATTCAGTTCCTCTGAATTATCTATTTAAAAAAAAATTATCTAGCCAATTGTGGACGGTGGAAATTTATATAAAATTTTTTAAAAATTTTAAAAAAAATTTTTGATTGAATTATATTCAAAAAGTTCAAAAAAAAAAAAAATTGGCAATTCAGAATTCTGATGATTTCATTTTATCAATTATGCTTGGAAGATACTTAATTAATCCATCTGATTATGAAGTTGAAAATGATTTTATAGGTGAAGGTAACTTTGGTCAAGTTTCTCTCGTTCATCCAAAAGATAATATTGATTTGAAAGTTGCGCTTAAAAAAATACCAGTTGATTTAGAAGATAAAGATATTCAAAAAAATTTCATTCGTGAAGTTTCAATTATGGCCTCATTAAGGCATCCAAATATTATTAAATTAATTGGTTTTTCATTTCCATCCAGCAAAGATCAATCATTTAAAATATATTCAAAATACTTGCCAAATAAAACTTTAGCTGATGTTTTAGAAGAAAAAGAAGAATTAAATAATACTCAACTTTCAATTATTGTTTATGGAATAGCATCAGCAATGGCATATTTACATAGTGAAAACATCGTTCATCGTGATCTCAAGCCAGAAAATATTTTTTTAGATGAAAATTTTTACCCAGTATTATCTGATTTTGGCCTTTCAAGATTTGATGGAGTTAACATGACAGGTCGCTTAGGTACTCCATATTTCATGGCCCCAGAATTATTTGCCGAAGAAGATGAAGAATCAAATATTTCTAATAAGATTGACGTTTATGCATTTGCAGTTACACTTCTCTCATTGTTCACAACAAACTATAAATTTGTAGGAGTGCAACCAAGAACAATCAGCCAACTCATTAACAAAGTCACATCAGGAAAAAGATATGTAATTCCAAAAAGTGTTCCAAAATTTTACGTCAATCTTATTCAAAAATGCTGGGCAAATGATCCAAATGAAAGACCATCTTTTGATGAAATTGTTAAAGAATTGGAACAAAATGATGAATTTATATTTGAAGGAGCAAACGTTGAAATGGTTAAAAAATATATCAGAAAAACTAAAGAATTCATGGAAGTTGACAAAAAAAATGAATCAACTGTTACTTCATCATCAGCATCAGATAACGAAACATACAGTGATGATGAAAATGAAGGTTTTTCAGAAACAAAGGAGTTTGATTTTTTATGCTACTAAATTTCTCAACTTTTTTTTTTTTTTTTTTTTTTTTTTTAGAAAAATGATAAATTAAATATAAAAATCTTCATATTTTTTTAATAATAAGGGTTTATTATTATTTTTTACTCTTTTTTATCAAGAATTGGTGAAATGTTTTTAATCATTAAAGTTGCGAAAGGATAATGAAAATGTAATATTTGAGCTGTTTTATCTTCCTTATCTTCTTCTTGAAAAGCTTCAACTTCTAATCGATACCAAGTATGGAGGTAAGGCTTAATATAGTCTCGTTTTTCTTCTTTTGTCATTCCATCTGTGTCTTCCTTCCATTTGCTGCAAGGTTGATCAAGGATGATTTGTGGGATTCCTTGATTGAATACTTTGAATCGGAAGAACATTTTACTCATCGTATCGTCACTGAAAGCCAAATCAAACTGAAAAACAGATCTCGCTTTCTCTGGAGATTTATTGCATACAGGACAAAAACGATGGCCTAAATTATCTTTCTTTAATTTTTTCATTTTCTTGTATCCTTCACATTTTGGATCACTGCATGTTTCATAGTAAAGTGTGTAATTGGCTGCCCTTTCTGATTTCTTCTTTATTATTTTATGATCTTCATCTTCACATTCCTCTTCTTCGTCGATGACGAAATTATCATTATTTTGATTCTTTTCCATTTCTTTATTGAATTTGATGAACACACCATATACTTCAATTTGTTCAAGTCTTGCATCAACAACAAAGTAATCTTTACGGTTAATTCCTAGTTTTTCTTCTCTAATTTGTTTAAGTGTCTTCATTGTTGGAACTGACAAATTAATGAATGGCTGATTCTTATTCTCTTCATACCATTTATAATACTTTTTTACATAATCATATGTGTTGTCACATATTCTTATATAGGTTGGACTCGTTATTTTTAAATGTTTGTGAAAGTCTTCCATTGAAATGGCAAGACACTTTCCAACAAATGCTTTTCCTTCATCAGTTTTCTTTATCAAGAGAGCATATGTGTTTGTTAGCTCCACTTTGATCATATACGATTTTTTTTCTCCCTCTTTTGCTTCAAATGTTGCTATCGTTATGTTACGTGATATTGTGTCATCATCTTTATATTGGATTGGTCCTACATCAGCAATGATGCCATTGATGTCCACTAGGCCATTTTTTTCAGTAGTCAAATCTAATGGTTCTTTTCTTTCTTTAAACCTAATTGATAGATCGTCATTTGTTTCTTTAAATTCTGTATCAGAAAATATCTTTATATCACCGTTGTTTTTTGTTGAAAATTTTGAAATAAGATATACATGATTACTTTCGATCGTTGTTTTAGTCGGATCATAAAATGTTGCATCGATTTTGATTTCACAATCATTATTTATTAATATCATCTCTGTATATTTGCGGAATATTATTGCTCTTCCATATTTTTGATCTGATTCTGGAATTGGTATATCGTCTCGTGACGCTAGGACAGAAATTGGTGAATATGTACATTTTGTAATATCTGTACCAATAATGTGATCTGAAGAACCTATAATATTTGGTTCAAATAAAATAATTAAAGGCATAGTATGGTTTTTAATTGAATAGCTTTTGATGTAAAATTTTTGAAATTGGATGATTTGTGACAGTCTATATTTATCATTATTTGGTTTGATAAATGCAGGAGAAAAATTTTTTCCATCACTAATATGATATAATAAATTATTATTATATTCTGTAATACCAATGATTTGGACAGTAACTGGTTCATCCAATTCTTGGAAAAAGTTGGGTGAACTACAATTAACAACAAATTGAAGTAAATGCTTCATTACAATGTAATATTTATATTAATAATATCCTATTGTTCTATTCAAAAAAAAATGAGAACTTGTTCCCTTTTTTTAATTCAAATATCTAATGGAAAAAACAGTATTATCTTGATTCGAGAATAATTATATGAGGTATAATATTTTCCGTGTTATTTTAAAATCTTCTTTTACATTATTATTATTTAACCTATTGCTCTTTTCAAATTTTCATTGAAAATTAATTGAGAACTTATTCATTATTAAATCAAAAAGTGTATAATTGATAGTTTTATTGTATTTTGATGATTTATATTTAAAGTTTCGAATAAATGTAAAATGTTAAACTTTCAACCTTTTTTAAACTTATGAGCCTCATGGATGTTTATCGATAATGTAAAATTATGGTTATTGTAACAAAATTCATTTTTATTTAATTTTTATGAAAATTTATAACCATGTTTAACTCAATATAATATTAACAAAAATTAATAATTTTGATAAAACCAATTGATAGTTTTTTCATTATATATCACTAAATAATTATTTTGTGGATTAATTAATTATTTATTTACAAAAAGTTCTTTTTATTGTAGAATAATTGAACGCTCGATTTTATCGATATTATCAGCAACGAATATACTATCGATGAACATCCCTTATGAGTATCTTGTGGATTTTATAATCTTTTAGTTGAAAACTGAGAAATTTTAGAAAAAATAATTTTGAGAGTTAAATTGGTAAATGTAAAGAATTACAATTTTTTTATATAATATAAAACATGATAAAAAAAAAAAAAAAAATAAAACAACAAACAAGATTAGCTACAAAAAAAGCCTAGCAAATAGTGATTGCCAAGTTAGACAGCAAAACTTTTGCATTTTTGAATTTCTTAAGTTCGTCGCTGTTTGAGTTCATGTTTGCGACGTACTTCAGGTCGAGCAGCGAGCACTTTTCTCTAATTGACTTGAAGAAGCACATCTGCTTTGTGTTCCAAAAGATGATCAATTTCACATGGTCATTAAAATTGACCTGTAA